GAGAGGAAGGGATAAAGTTAGAGATAGTTGTCGGTTTGGTCAATTTTTGTCGGCTGGACCTCCCATTTCGCAGGCCTAAAATTTGAAAACCATGGAACATAGATGGAAGAAGAACAAACATCTTGTAGAGCAGACAATTCTCTTTCGAATGGTATATGACTCGATGTAAAAGCATGGGGATTTAGATGAAAATTTTTTGGTTGAAAAAAGCCGACACTACTTATGAGACAACCTAATAGTTGCCGTGCTGTCGTCAATATCGGAACTAACTTTCTACCAAGTTGAGAAGGGGGGAGGGTTTGTGATTTGATCCTGAATGGGGGAGGAACGTAGAATGTGGAAATTTCTTTACCGCCGCGCTTCACCTTTATATACAGGGGGGGGGCCAAAAAAAAAAGACATTTTGCCTCCACTTCCAGATGGATTTAAGCACATTTTACTCAACTCAGACCGAACGGTTCCAACTTATTATTAAAGAGTGCATTCCATTCTATAAGAAAATCTTCATAGTGGCCACGTACGTGGACGGCATCAGAAGAATTAGCCCTGGAAACATGGTGCACTGGTCGATCTCAATGGGGTCTTCGAAGGATCGTGTACCATAACGACCCTTACTGGAAAGCTAGTTCCGAGGGGATTTGCACAGTGGTAGCTAATGCCTCTAGAAAACTATCCAACATTAAATCGATTCACGAAATTGCGTAAGAGCTTCAGGCTGAAGCTCTTACGGTAGACCTCCTTGAGCCTGACGACGGTGACAGATGACGTCATATTCTGAAGACGGTGAGGGCAGTGAAGGAGAGCCTGCGTACACTATAGAGGGACACTTAGGGAATACTCTGCTGAGGAACTCCCGTCAACGACGGCAATCTCTGCGAAGAAAAAAGGCCGAAGTCCGACATAGGCAAAATGTCTTTTTTTTTGGCCCCCCCCCTGTATAATTCACAGCGGTGGCGCTCACCTAGTTGGGGAGGAGCCACTCGCACACTCCTCCCCCCTTCCCTAGCCCATGAATTCCTCGTTTTAGACAAAAGGGCACAACGTGCCGCATGCCCCGTGCGGCGACTGTCTCTAACAAAATTTGCACCGTATTCGCCCTTGGAAAAGCACTACTCAACGCTGATTTCTCTTATACGGCCTTTGGCAAGGGCCGTATGTAGCAGTACCCGGCCGGGGAATGGCTCTAAACCCAGCATCTCTAAACGCATTTTTGACCATAGGAATGCGTCATCGCACACGCACACTTCCAAGGACTAAACCCTTGCAAGCTAATGCTCTATCCGACCCCAGCCCAAATACGACTTCCTCCACGGTAATAGCAAAAAAAAGATCGCTCCACCCTTGCGATAACATTCTAGCTCTGTGTGCCAGTGTAGCTGGAGAGTTGGATGCCAGCCAAGTGCAACGGGCAGCGCCCTTAGTGTTTACCGCTGAGAGGCAGACATTGCGAAATAGCGTAAAAATAGTTGGAATCAACTGACTTTGGATTTCGCAATTTTGTGTCAGTACAGAACGTGCTGTTACGAGAAACGATTATCAAGTGAGAGAAAATGATTTTGTGGGCAAAAGAAGGGTACTGTACTATAATTCACTTACAGAATAAGTTCACTCTTTTAAACACAATCCACAGCTTGCCCATTACGGTGATAGCGTGAAACTGCCACTTAAACCAGTCCCTCTAAGATGCGCCATGTCTCTGGTTTCCAATGTATCACCGAGGAATGGACATACATTATTTCTTCTTTGGCGACTGTTTTGAGCGTTCTTCGGTCCACAGCCCCTTCTTCTCACTGATTCGGGAGCCTTGGAGGGTTCTTTAGCGAAAGCATAAATCAGATCGAGGCAGCTACTATGCGACACCCCTCCCCCCTCCTCCCCCTGTTTCCCTTTTCCCGTCAAGGGTCTTTTGGTCAGATGGGAACCATCTCAAGAGAAACTCCTCAAATTAGTGGACGTTACAGGAGACATGACTATCGCACGACTTGTTGCACGACGCCCCTCCACGGTACAACAAGCCTCCGTTGGATTGACCCTCCCCTTTAACCATAAGAGTATCCTGTGGAATGCGGCGGCTTCTTTCTGATGCGCTCATTCCTTTTTTTGCTGATCTATCTTTCTGTCGAATCTACAAATAGTGTGTAAACCTTTAAAGCGAACTCTTCACAATGAAGGATCAGAAAGCACTCATATTCCGTTTCGCCAACCATACGCACTTTCACGAACGCAAAATTCTTCCGGAATTCCCAGCGCAGACGCGAGACGGGCGGTTCGTCTGTTCAAATGTGCGCCAGTCGGTCACCGTTTATGCGTCAGTTTTTCGTAGACGTGCACTGTGATTGCTTGCGCCCCCCCCGCGCCTTTTCCCAAAACCCCCCCCTTTGTGTTGCGCTCAACCTTTTTTTAATAAAAGCGTAGCAGATTTGCTATTTTTTGTTGCCTGGTGAACAGAAGGTGGTGAGTGGTAGTGATGAAATAGTTGGCGGGTTTGTAAGAGGAGTAATGCGGATTCTGCGCTAAATTTGGCGTTCCGTTGCTGTTGATTATTTTTCTCTATATTTTCTTATTATATCGTTGTAATATTGAGAGGCATTGATACTTCCTTCCGGTTGATCGCTTTCTTCTTCATATGCAATTTCTTTCTCGTCGTTAGTACGGCATATTGTTGCAGTTCGCGTTGTCAATTTACTAGTTTTCAAAAATATTTCAGTTTCATCCGTTTGCAGGTAATGCAGCGGGCCGTGGCTCAAGGAGTTTCAGTGAGTTGCTTCAGAAAATTGTTTTTGTTTAATTATTGGTTTTTTTTTTCTTCGATAGAGTGTTGAAGCAGATAATAGAACTTATAATGATGCCGTTCTATTGACATTGGCAACTTGCCAGAATTTCTTCATTAATGCCTGACGAATTTCATTTTAGGCTTGTATATATACTCGAGATCCGTAAGTTGGGGTAGGCGTGTCACCGGAAGTGACGTGTACTTGATAGAATCTATGTGGATAAGGTGCTTCCAATATACAGTAGCGGTCAAAAGTCTTCGCCGAAATTGTTTTTCGACTGTAACTTTTTTCCGCTGAATCAAATCAATTCAAATTTTAATATGTTTTAGAGATAGTCCTACTTCACTTAAACGGCATATTTGTTTCGGATTGAGAAAGAATTAAGAATGGAAAAAATCATTTCACTAGAAATTCTCGCGTATGAGCAAATTCCAAGTAGGTTTCAAATTACTCTAGCAAGCTTACAATTCAACAAAACAATCTTACGCATGATGAATAACACTGGGCAGGTCCAATACTTTGTTAATGATCTTCTGGGTTCGCTGAAATACTAACAAGGCCTAAGTAAGGAATCAGTCATTGAATGCACTGTCTACTAGGGCAGCTTCCTCCACTTCTCTTGAAATTTGACGAGTTTCTCGCCCATATTCCCGGGCTCTTATTTCCACCAAAGGTATCCCTACTCTTTCCCATAATGTTTCGATGGCGCTCGGGACATTGGTGTGAATTGTTCCCTTCGTTGAAAGCGCGCCATGCTGTCGAAACCAATCCTTCACAGTGAAGGTGCGATGCTTTTGGTCGCTCTATAGCTAGAAGGCGAACTCAGTCACGTACAGTTTCATACGAGCGGATACGAAACTCCTTCTAGAATCTATCTGATACGTCGGCATTCACCACTTCTCTAATCCTGTGCAGTTGTAAAACTTCTTTTACGGACTACCACACGCGAGCCTCCGCCAAGTTTTACATACGGCAGTTAATTCCTTGGATCGAAACGTTTTTCCTCAGGACCGCACACATTCCTATTTCAGTCGCCGGCAAACATCTTGAATTTACTCTCGTTGGTCCGCAGGACGTTGTAGCCCTATGGGGATCCCCACTTTAGGTGTGCGTAAGCACATTTCGCCCCCGACCAGTTCACCGCCGACTAACTTCGCAGTATTCGCAATCATGTGAAGGCAGCCTATACAGTTGGGTTCTAGAAGGAGCTCTTATCCACGTGTATGACAGCTGCCCGCGACTGAGCTCGCCTTCTAGCATTAGTGCGACCAAAAGCATCACACCTTCACTGTGAAGGAGTGGCTTCGCCAGCATGGCGCGCTTTCAACGAAAGGAACAATTCACACCAATGTCCCGAGCGCCATCGAAACATTATGGGAAAGAGTAGGGATACCTTTGGTGGAAATAAGAGCCGGG